GAGAGGCGGTGCCCAATAGGGGAAATAGAGGAGGGGACTCAATTTTGTATAAGCAGTGGGTGTCGTCTCCCATGGGGCAGAAGGGTGGGGCCCAATAGGAGAAATAGAGGTAAAACCTTTAAAATCCTTTTCCGACCATCGGGATTAAGGGATTTTATCCTTATTTAGTCTGGAGCATCCTTGAATCCTTGTATGATTGGTGGGTATGACCCCCCTAGGGCCATTGGGTTGGGGCTCTGTTTGAAGTTTGTTCTCGCTATATCTCAAGTACTGGATGGATCTTTCTGAAATTTCATATGTACTTACAGCACGTACCATGGAGTGCTATATCTTTACTTTATACCAATTATTTTAAACATATTCAGGTGAGCGACACAGGCCCTCAGGGCCTGTTGTTTTCGTTTAGCAAACAGTATCATCTACTTATTTAATATTTGGATATACAGGTATCTGTTCTGTAATGTGATAGGAGGTCAAGAATTCGACTACCTGTCTGACCCTGTACGTTTTTATTGTCAGAACAACATTAATGATTATTTTGTTTTTTCTTTTAATTTCATTGTTACTTCTTTTCTCATAATAAATACTCCTCGTCGACGAAACAAGTGTTAATTTTTAGAGTGGCTTACTTAATTAAAAGCTATTCCTGTGCTAGTAAAACACATTTAATTCCTTATTGCAGATTTTGGAAGTGGTAGAAGGATCCTTAACATCTATTGTCAGCTTTCAAAAGGACAAATGCATATTGGAGAGATACGCAAGTGAATTAACACCAGTACTCTTCCTAGCATGCGATGCAGTATAAATATGTATCAATCTTCTTTACGAGGTTATCCACACAGTGAAAACGGATGAGGATTATCTCCCTTTAGGTGGTGAAAGTCTTCTTTAGACAGTGATATATATATAATTCATGGTCGACAAGATAAACACCCCAATGCATCTACCATACGATCAATAAAGTGATGTATGCCATTGGCGTACATATGTATTCCAAGCTAATTAAGTCAATGATAAATGACTAGTAATACGATATCAATCTGCGCTTTACAAAACTATGTATTTTTCATTTGTATGCCAGCATTTGGCATCTATCAACAAGCCAAAAAATGGAATTTACTAAGACATGTTAAAATCGTAAGGAGGGGACGCATTGATGCTGCTATCAGTAACACGAAAGATGAAGATAAGGAAATCGAAATAGTCATTTTATACATTTATGATATTGTGCTCTATTCTCAATCCTAGTTGGAAAATAAATTTTTCGAAACATGAATAAGCAGAGAAAGTGTATGTCTCTCCTGAAACAGTTCCTTTAGTCAAGGTTTGCTATTTTTGGCCTGAGCTGGGTGCTACAGTGTCTATGATAAGGCAGCATTACGAAAACATATCGTTATTGGATAAAAGATCCTATCGGAAAATAGAACACTAGTATGCGTCTTGTACTCACGAAAGCGCGTACACATATGGAGGTATTCAGGCAGGTGGCAAAGCACCAGTAGTGAGCGCCTGATAATCCAGCTCCTACAATACCTTACAACTGTGTTGATAATATTGTTAGAATAAAATGTGCATTGTTGTATTGTAAAACACCTCACTGTGAAGTACTCCAAGCTAGATAGGGCGTTACACAAAATGTCATAAAAATAATCCCAATTATTCTATTACAGTAAATATCACTTTTAATTCAAGCAATACTGCATTGTCGGACATGCAATAGAAAAATAAGGCGTTTTGTCGTATTATCAAAAATTGTACGAACATATATCATATTCGAGGGAAATGATACAATGAAGGAATGTTGAGTATGAGGATTGGTGATCATTTATGATGCTATCCATAATTACACAAGTTAGACACGTTAGATAACTGAGGCATGGCAACAATAAATTACAGATGACGCATTTTCAAAATATGAACGTTATGTTTTAAGTACGAACATTCAATAATGGAGATGCAGTTATTTGGGGACATACTTCCATGCAACTAACCGATTACCAGACGCCCTTGTAGTGATGGACCGAAATTGCCATTAAAAATTATCAAAAGGGACACAAGACAATGTTATTGATGATGCCGATTCCTGGTACAATGTTGCCAATTAAGATGCAGGACTTTTATGATTTTAAGCACTTTTTGTGTAAATGACATTAGGAATAATCGCTCTTATGATAAAACGGCAAGGAAGTAAAAGTTCCTTTGGTCTTATCTGCAACAATGCGCAACTAATATCATCAACTGAGCGCATGCGTGTTGTTATCAAAAAGGCTTCTGAATTATCCAGAAGAAGATAACGAAGCATTAATACAATACTGAACTTAACCTCAAGCAGAAACATTTTATTGACACGATTTTGACTGTATTTGGATCTAAAGGCATCCTAGACGTAATGTTTTTATGGCGATATTATAGGTCTGAAGAAGAAGATTTACTAAGATATAATCAAAGATAACAGTTTAACATGATTTGTTTGGCAGTACAATGGGGATTATCTCATGTGTTTTAACGTCGCGAAATGTTTGTCCAGGTTTGAGAGGAAATTATGATAACAAACGCATGATAGAAGTCAATGTAATTGTTCTCAGTAACAATCCGAAATTATAACCCGAATTCCATTGTCTCAACAGGGTGTACAACGATACATGTATCTCCATATGTGTAACACATGTGCTAACATGGTTAACTTCAAATTGTCTATATATGTACCTTCACATATATTTACTTAGGAACTTCTCAGCACAGTCACTAGACCATTATGTATGCGTGAGTGTGTGGGACAATAAACGTAAACACGTCGTGTATAACCTCCCTATATCAAGTTCGATAAAACTTTCTTAGCTTAATGACACAAACATTTAACGCTTAAACAATTTTCAAATTATCAAAACTAAAAAAACTAAATAGGACTACGGTCATATACGAAGTATAATAAGACACATATCCTGACAATACGGATGGCAAGCTTCAATTAAGAGTTTTGATATATTTTGTAATTAAGCTGAATGAGCTAAATACCGCCCGAACCCAGACGTGTGACGTTACAGCAGGGTGAAAACGAGTGTGCAATTTTAGTATCGTTTCATGTTGAATAACTATTCACAAACGTTTTCTCTTCTAGTATTTCATATCAAAAATGGTTATATCATCATTACAAGTTTCAAGTTCACGAGTCAAATATTAGTTTTAAAAACTTTCACTTCTTGCCACTAGGGCAAATTAGCAATGCCTTCTTAAATAACACACAAAAATGTCCATTTTGAAATATGAATAGGGTCTCATTTATACTTCACTTCATGTATTGTGATGTAGTTTACGACCCTTCCCCAAACATAAAAAAAACGACAAAGATGAAAGTAAAAGAGATTAAATATAATTGGAATCTATTTTTACAACGTATTTCAGGTCGTAGAGATAACACAAGATTTAGAATGTTAATGAAAACTACTGAGCTATCTTTACGGCAATAATTCAGCATTTGTTCTGGCCAATTAAATCCTTTCTATCTCCGAATGACTTGTCATTATTGTGGTCTGTCTGGTAAAGAACTACCCACCCAAATTTAATTATACTACATCCACTCCGTTAGACTTTCGAGGTCTCCACAATTCATAATTACACTATTGTGATGTCATTTGTTCAGAAACGGCATAACATATCAGCGTTTTAATCTCTTCCTACAACTCATTCGTCAGACGGGCCTTCGGCAGATGTTTACACTAAATTGAATTCCAGTACTTGATAAACACACGGAGTCGTTGAAGATAAGATTTTTACCAAGGACCTAGTGCGCTAATATTACTTGCGATTACATTGACAATACGTACACTCCACTCTCTATATAGGACAACAGTGCTTCAGCTACCGACATTTTACCATGTAAATCTTTAATTCCAATTAAGGTTGCATGCAGAGTGATCCGGCTTCAAACTAGAACACATTATATTGAGATGATTGTTCAGGGAAAATTTTAAATGGAATTAATATTGCGTGTATAGCTTCATACAGGAATTTGCTTATTGCTATGGTTACATACATTTGATATAGAGATGTCAAAATTATACAAAAATCGTGATGAATATTCCAATCATATCACAATGGTATTGCAGCTACCATGAACAATGTACAATGTGATTGCCGTTGGGTGTAGGACAAGATTATAACATTCTACATTTGTTACCGGTAGAGGATGTTCAATACGAAAATCAAGAGAATAGTGTTGGTCTCAGACACCCATTGATGATTTCTCTCATCGTACGGGATAAATGCGAGTGAGACGGCGGATAACAAAAGTAGGTATCGAAGAGGCTCCTGGAACAGCAAAGTTTCAAACGGGTAGTGTTAGATTCAACAGTGTTTTATTCAATATTTACACATGAGTTTAACATACATGTCTTTTCAAAGCGATTGGAAAACATCGTCGGAAACCCATGTTCGATTGTTCTAAACACTAGTACAATCGAACGCGGGTTTCGACGATGTTGGAAAAAAAGGTTAGAGCTTATATAACGAGTAGTGTGAAAATCGGCTTGTTTTATCTACAAAGTACTTAGGAAATTGGAGTGGGGTGGGGTGGGGTCAGTTCTGCTATAAACTGAATATGTTACAGTAACTTAACGTTACCTCCACGTAACTAATAATCAATAAATGTGCCGGTATGACCCAATTCAATAGATATGATCAGGAACTCAAAGAATGAACATACATCGTTCCATAAATGATAGATCGCGTATATATTGACTTATCGTACATATATACTTAATCACATACTCCCGAAAAATCAATCCTTATGTTTACTCGTCATGAAAGGATTAAAGAGTAAATATTTCCCCTGCGTTGATTTTACAACGATATCAATGAGTTGATTGACAGCTTGCCACGCCCACAATGTAAGCTAAGTGGCAGCCTCCTCCCACCCTTTACCGCCAAAGTGATGATTGGATGTAATGCTATGTGAAACAAACGCTCGTATGCACTCTACTGATCGTCTGCTTACCCGCAAAGCTTGAATCGAACAGAGCATTCTCTCTTACACTGGAACGGTTTCGATATCGTTTCGTTAGCGATTTCATTGAATTAATCCGTGTGACCTCGCTGGAAATATAGCACTGATACTGAGCAATGAATGGTGTTTATATTTACTCGTCAGCGTAGAGTTGGCATTCTTCGGTCTAGACGCTGGTATGGATAGAGGGATTCCGTTTTAGCTTACATATTGCACAATTTATAAATACACAGCTTTTATTTTTAATCTGGATCGTACAAACGGTGAGGATGTAAAGTGGTTTCAAACGTTGTGTTGCGTCAGTATCTAGGAGAAACGAGGAATGTAAAATCTTAACGCTCCAAGGTAAGTGAAGATGTTCCCAGCTATCTCATCATTACAGTTTATACCCCCGTGTGTGGTTGTTCACTGAATAGGTACTTGAAACACTTAGAATGGTGTGCACTTTGTCTATTGGTAGGGTTTGTTATTTAGATAGACGTGCCTATGTATTTGCATTTTAATGAAAGCTTGCTTTCGGCTTCAATTTTTGCAAAGACAAAGCTAATGAAAATGATGTGTAACCCCTGCGAAACATGTGCAGTCAATCTAAGTACTACAATCAGGAAAAGTACTCGAAAGAATGCACTCTGGATAGACAAAGCACCAAAAATACACATTTAATCCTAATCGATAATATTCGAAAGAAGATTATTTCTCTTAATGCATTGTCTTCTGTATGACAATAAACACTGAAAGATAATACTCCTGAATAACAGCAATGCTATTAATTACACACGGGATGGTGACTTTCATTTTTACTATTGCTAGGAATGCATGCACGTGCAAACATGCGCAATACAATTCCCTAGTTTAATACCGTAGACGGAAACTGTATTTTTATCCGTGAACTACTCGGGGTTGGGAGTTATTAGCTATTTGACATGGCGACCGCTTAATTCCATTCATCACCGTCGATAACACGGATCAGATACAATCTCCAAACAAATCTTAGATTCAGGAGCATTCTTTAAAACCATTAAATAACGTTACACGTTCGTATACACAGACGATTTTCTTATCGAGCAAGGACGCAGCTTTATGCTGTAAAAGAGATTTAAATTGTGCTCTTAACCATTAAAGGTTCCTGCCTCCCGCAATAAGCACACAACCCGCAACAGAAACGCATGTTTAGAATCCTTTTAGATATACGCTTTGGAACTGAATTCGATTTTCACATGTCCGTGTCTTATTTATATCGACACCTTATCTGTCTTAACGCTTCCTCGTAACTACCAGTAATTAAATAAAACTTAGAAATATTGCAGCATCTCCGAATCTGACGGTGTCTTACATACTTAAGTATGAAATAAAGATAATTAATGAGAAATTATATAGATGATAAAGTGAAAAGTTAAGAGCGCATGTTAATCACAATATTATCTAGCTTTGCATTGTGTGGCTTGCCAGTCCTTTCGACGTCCCAAACGAAATCTTTATGTGATCGAGGCATCCGCCGTAGAACCAAAAATCCGTTACATCGTGATGAAATTCGAGCAATGTACGGTGTAACATGCAGAAAGTAATCTATCTCACATCTTATTTCACCCAATATATTCAGAAATGTTCAACATTTCCTTTTAGAGGAAATTGCATCCATTTCTATAACGTTCTGACAGCTCTCGAACAAAGACGTATAACCCCAAAAAAATGAACAAAATGAATTTTCTTTGCTATCCAATTCATTTACAAACTTGTATGTGTGACTTCGTTATCGATTTTCAGTTTGGTGCTCATGTCAACACTTGGTCTAATTCGTGTGATATTAATTGATAAAGTGTCGCCTTTCTGTTCAAACTATGCTATTTAATCTAAAATATTCTACAGTTTCAACTTTCAAATTTATTATAAATCTCAGCGTTCAAATTCAGATTGCTTGCCGCAGTAACTAGAAATCCATTTCTCAATATCTTCATTTCAGTTTTATCGCGTTAAGAAGTTGTTTTTCCTTCGTATTCCTCGCGTCCTCGGAAGGTACTGAGGAGACCCTTTCCATGTACTTTGTCGAAACGTTCTCAAAGCAATTGATCACACCAAATCCAATTTTGATAGTTCTGTTCATGACAAGTAACATCTTGTTCTGAAAAAGGGATATTAATTCTTATATCTTAGTGCTGCCCTAGACATTTTTGTACACGTTCCCCAGTTTCTGATGTTCATTTTTCGCTGCGGTCTGCCTTTCCTAACGCAATGCTGTCTTTGATACAACCAAAACGACATTTTATGGCCGTTTCATCTTCATTTAAATCTTTAAAAGACGTCTTGCATTTCTGCAAATGGGAGAATATGACCCCCTCCCTCCTTCTCGCACAAAAATTAGTGTATTCTAAGAGAACGAATGACGGGGTTTCTCTTCATATTTTCATGGTAACGGATAATTTTTGCCCGATGCTATGAACTTGGTTATTTATGTAACATGCTATGCTGCAGTACGGCTTTATTGAAATTATTTATCCTTTAAGAATTGCTTTTATATAATGTTTCGTTGAATTAGCGATAATGAGCATGGCTAATTGGCAGCAGTGCCCCCTTTTCAGTCCACTATCGACGCTAGAAGGGATAGGTTTCATTGAGCAAGCATAGTTCCATTGTGGAGCATTTCATACGAAAACAGAAATGCCTACACCTCTCTCTCATGTTGATCTCGTGTTTATGAGCAGGCTATGAATGTCCATAGGGAATATCACTTGCATGTACATTTCATCTTTAAATGTATTAATTCCATATAATATACATGACTGAGACATCAAATAGAATAGGCTAGACCTTAATTAATCAGAAAAAGCTTCCTTGGTTAGGATATTACAATAGTGTCTATTTCCCCGGCTTTGTTGTCGGCAGCAGTAAGATCGAACGGCTGTGAAAACATCCCAGATCGAACGCATAAACCGTGGCTGCGATCGAAGAAGGATGTATATATATGGTGTAATGAAAAAGTACGTGTGTCACAAGGTTAGGATACCAGACAATCTCTTGATATGTATGTCTTTCCGTCGGCAACTTAATGCCGAGGTCTTTGATAATGCTCCCGTATTACCGATCATTAGCATAGAACCACTGTCTCATTTAAAATCTTCTTTCTATCAGAATAGCCGCACAATGTATTCATACATGCAACAACTATTACCTAGTGGTTCAACATTAACACCGTTGTGAGACGTGTCAAATGTTGATGTTCATCGTAGTATGACGTTGTATCACATCACCCTGTTGTGCGTCCATGATCTGTTGTGCATCACATTGTAAGGTTCAGTTTCTGTTTTAAAACACAATATGAGGTTCATGATCTGTTGAACATCACATTGTAAGGTTCAGGATCTGTTTTAAATCACAATATGACGTTCATGATGTGTTGAATATTACCATGTTAGGTGAATGACTCGTTGTGCATTACAGTGTATGGTTCATGATGTGTTGTGCATCATAGTGTTAGATTCGTGAAAGTTTGTACATCTGCATCATAGTGTTAGATTCGTGAAAGTTTCTACGTCTGCATCATAGTGTTAGATTCGTGAAAGTTTGTACATCTGCATCATAGTGTTAGATTCGTGAAAGTTTGTACGTCTGCATCAAAGTGTTAGATTCGTGAAAGTTTGTACATCTGCAACACAGTGTAAGGTTCATTAGGTGTTAGAGGTTAGCGGTTCATGTGACGTTAATCATAATGTGGTGTTCACGTTGTGCTGCGAATTAAAGTATTGGTGTCTAGACGTGGAACGCCTCAGAATGAATGATTCGTTGTAAGTACCAGTTTCAAACCTTACAAGACCTGATCTATTCGGTAAAACTTATTCACGATCAGCATTAGTAGGTAAAAAAATAAAATGCCTTTTAATTATTATTTTCGCTCTAAACAGCATTTCCACATTCTTACCATTCTGGATATTCGTGTGTTTATAACGTGGTTGTTTCTAAACCTCAAATTAACAGTGAAATGTGAGATAGCAAAAAAACCTTACCATGTTTGATAAAATATACATGTAATGTTTGGATACGATACTATCTGGTATACCGCCGTTGTTAAGAGTATGTTGCTGATGCTGGCGTTCATTGTATTTTCTCACCTGATAATTTATCGATTACGGAAATATAAATTAACGATAAGGCTTACCCAGCTGTGAAATTATCCAGCTACACTATCAGGTTTTATCGCTTAAATGTTACATATATATAAATATTGTTTTTATGCTAGAAACTGTGTCATTTATAATATATAAATACAATCTTAAAAGGCAACAGAGTAACATTTAGGGGAATATTTTCCTTCGACTACATCATAAAAATGTATTTTAAAATCGTACGTGTTCCATACATGCCCTTTGCCCATCCGGACTACGTAGAGAGTATTTAAATCATTCATGAGATTTTCCTTTTCCACATCCTAAAACCTTACTGACACTTAAAAGCGGCCATAAAGCTTCAGCAAGCAGAAGCGTGTTGAACGTTGCTGGACAGTAACGCAGCAATGTCGACCAATGATGTGAATACTTAATCATGCGTGGCTTAATTAATGGTGTTCCACCAATAAGTTGCTCATACTATCCACTGTAGCACCACTCCTTTTGGACGTTAACGGCCTGAATCCATTGTGCCATGTTGTAAGCATTCTCGGCAAAACGGACTTACTGCTACCGTAGAATTTTTTTCCATTCTCCATAGGAGCTGTTCAGTCTGTAGTCTGTCCCCTTGATGGTGGTGCGCTACATATAGCTGTTCAGTCTGTAGTCTGTCTCCTTGATGGTGGTGCGCTACATATAGGTGTTCAGTCTGTAGTCTGTCCCCTTGATGGTGGTGCGCTCCATATAGCTGTTCAGTCTGTAGTCTGTCCCCTTGATGGTGGTGCGCTATATATAGCTGTTCAGTCTGTAGTCTGTCTCCTTGATGGTGGTGCGCTACATATAGGTGTTCAGTCTGTAGTCTGTCCCCTTGATGGTGGTGCGCTATATATAGCTGTTCAGTCTGTAGTCTGTCTCCTTGATGGTGGTGCGCTTCATATAGCTGTTCAGTCTGTAGTCTGTCCCCTTGATGGTGGTGCGCTCCATATAGCTGTTCAGTCTGTAGTCTGTCCCCTTGATGGTGGTGCGCTCCATATAGCTGTTCAGTCTGTAGTCTGTCCCCTTGATGGTGGTGCGCTATATATAGCTGTTCAGTCTGTAGTCTGTCTCCTTGATGGTGGTGCGCTTCATATAGCTGTTCAGTCTGTAGTCTGTCTCCTTGATGGTGGTGCGCTTCATATAGCTGTTCAGTCTGTAGTCTGTCTCCTTGATGGTGGTGCGCTACATTGCGATCACTACTGCAACTTAATT